TTCACAATCTCCTGGTTTTTAGCTGGTGCCTTAACCACTGGACCAAGATACTGGAATATACTCATGGACTTGTTTGGAAGGTGGGAGGACGGGAGATCAAAAGTTTGGTAAGTGTCTTAATTCTGAGTGGAGAATTAACCAACCCTCATGTTCAATAGTAATATTAATAACTATAAATATTGGAAGTATTAGATTTATACCAGTGACGCATTCTGGGAGTTGAAGTTCACATATCTTAAAGATGCCAGGGGTTGAAAAACATAGGTTTATATTTATATTTAAAATAGCCTATGTGGATACATGATGAAAGCTTGCTACAATAGAATTCTAAGGCAATGTTGAGCCATGTGACATCCAAGTCCTTCTCCTCATCCTCCTTCCTCTTTCTTCTCCTGACTCTTCTTCTTCTTCTTTTTCCTTCCTCTTCCTTATCCTCTTCCTCCTCTTTTCTGAATGTTGACAATATTAAGCAAGACTCTGCACTGATTCTTCACTGTTGGTTGATTTAATCCCCAAAGATTTGAAGTTCTGCTTTCCTATGTTTTCCAAAAGCAACTAAAGGTGAGCTATTAATCTTTGAATACCTGCTCAGCTTGGAACAANGTCAGGAAGAAAGGTAAAGATGTCAGAGCATGCACAGTCTTACTGCGCTGAGATAACCCAGGAGTAAATACAGTAAACAGTGGTTTGTATTAAGTGGTGGTTTATATTACACTATAATATACACTAGAAACAAAATACATACACGTAATACAGCAAACTCCAACATACAGCAGTTACAGCAGGAAACAGACAAGAGAGAACACAGCAGTAAAAGCCTTCCCTTTTATACTCAGACTCTTAAAGGGATATAGACACAGACCCTGCTGAGTCATTCCTATCATTGCATCATCCACCTTACATTGCATCATTACATAAGCTGTTTAGCTATTAAATTATTATCCTGACAGACTGCATATCTGCTCCATTGTTGTGTGTTTTGTTTAGATCAAAAGAAACAAAAATAGGCACAGAAAAAAATATTAAGGAATTAAGTAAAGTTAAGGAATTAAATTTAGAAAATTTTGCCCTTCCCAGATGTTGGATTATGTTAACACTGATTTCTGTGTACTTAAACACCTGCTGCTCATTAGCGAAGTGGAAATATGGCTAATCTCATTTCTAGTCCAATCTTTGGGAATAAATAGACTCTCACTGAAAGTGCTTGTGCAAGTGTATATATTTTTTAATTTTCTGTTCCAAGCTTTGGGCATAACAGTTCACTTTCTTGTGCATCTTTTTAAAATAGCTTTACATAAGAAAACTGCTGAAACTTCTTGTCTATGTTGAGGAGAACTCTGCTTATTAAATTTCTTGTTAAGGTGCCATTTAAAGGCATAAGATATAGCAATAGCACTTAAGACTTGTATAGTGCTCCATAGTGCTTTACAGCACTCTCTGAGTGGCTTACATCAGCATATTGCCACCAGCAATTTAGATCTTCATTTTACTGACCTCGGAAGGATGGAAGGTTGAGTCAACTTTGAGCCAGTCAGGATCGAACTCCTGACTGTGGGCAAAGCATTCTAACCAGAGAGAGAGAGAGAGAGAGAGAGAGAGTATTTGGCTGTTCCAATGCCTGGTTGGCGTTTCAGATCCTGGAGTCAATTTCTTTGTCCAAAGACCTAGCACTTGAGACAGTTCTTTTACATACTTGAAGCTGGTTACATTTCTTAGCTGGATGTCATCAACAGTGATTTTTGGTTCCACAGGCATGATATTTAGCATGGACTGATAAAGTACTTCAGTCTTGTTCAGGATGATAATCAGACCAAAGAGCACAGCAGCGTCTGAGAATTTGTTCAGCATCAACCATAGATTGTTGTCTTTGTGGGCCAGAAGTGCACAGTCATCAGCAAACAGGGTTTCTTGAAAGACTGTATGGAGGCATTTTGTCTGTGCATTCAAACAGCAAAGATCAAAGATGGAGATATACAATCAGTACCTGATGTACACATCCTCTTTCAAACCCTGGACAGCACATGACAACATGCAACATGCAAGAACAAATTGAACAGGACCAGGTCTAGCTCACAATTGGAGCTGTTTTATCCAATTGAAAATAGCAAATGCAGCCTGTGTATCTCTGTTGTAAAGAACCTGTCCTGTCATACCATTGTGGATTAGTTGAATCAACTGGATGAATTTACCCGGGCATCGATGACATCTCAGGATGATCCAGAGAGCCCCTCTGTTTATAGTGTCAAATGCCTTTGTCAGTTCAATGAAGACAGAGTAAGGAAGCTTGTTCTGCTCAATTCCCTTCTCCTGGAGTTGCCTCATGGCAAATATCATATCTGCTATACTCCATTCTGGCCAAAAGCCACAATGCGCCTCCAGGAGGTTCCTTTCCAAGACAGTGACAAGTCTGTTCAGGAGAATGTGGGCAAAGATCTTGCCTGCGATGGACAGCAGTGAGACACCACTGTAAGTTTCCGCAATCTGATTTGCTCCCCCCCCTAAAAAAAAAAATTGTCTCTCGGTGTTACTCTCATAGTACCTTCAGGAGGTCGTAGAGGGGATAGTTGGTTTACAGAAAGTTCTACAGAACCTTTCCGACGTTCCGTAAAACCAGATCACGTAACAACTAGAGTCTTCCTTACCGTAAGACAGGACAACAAAACTCGAGTAGACGCTCTATTGAAAGAACTAGAGTGCTCGAGAGGGAGGCAGGTAGCTCTTTTGTAAGAATTCCACATTGATCCACTGGACCCTCCAAAGTTGGGAGTTCCTGTCTTATCAATAATATCTGCCTTTAAAAGGAATGCTTATGTAACTTGGTTATATTTAATACTTATGCCTTTTTATGTTTAATACTTGTTTTTCTGTGCTTTCATGGCAAGTAACAAATCACACTTGGGGTTTCTTTTGTGCCCTAAAAGGTGATATAGTTTTGCAATTCTAGCATATTCTAGTAGGTATAGTTACATTTAGAGTTGGCCAGTGCAGCAGTATCATATTTTTAAAATGTGTGTCAGAAATCTATTCAAAACAAGGCAATTACATTACATTAGTTACATGAGAAAAATAATCTTGACTCACAAAATTAGAGCTGAAGTGAAAACCTTTTTCTCTTTATATTGTATGATTTTTTTAATAAGAATTGTCTCAATGTTTCTAGAACTCATCTGATTTTTTTTATTTATTTAGAACATCATCATACTCCCACCTATTAAAATTAATTTCTTTTAACATTAATTAATTAATGAGACACTTCCTGACAGTGAGGACAATTAACCAGTGGAACAGCTTGCCTCCAGAAATCGTGAGCGCTCCATCACTAGAGATTTTTAAGAAGAGGCTAGACACTCACTTGTCTGAGATGGTGTAAGTTCTCCTGCTTAAGCGGAGGGCTGGACTAGAAGACCTCCAAGGTCCCTTTCAGCTCTATTCTATATATATAATGTTTTAGTAAGGAAAAGATAGTAATTCAAGTGACACAGTTAACCAAAGATTTATTTTTTACAGGAAGATGGAATTTTTTAAATAAGCAAACTGCAACTGAATATGGCCTGGTGTTTTTTAAATCTTATTATTTAGCCCCTAGCTTTGAATTAATATCTTTCTTGCAGATTTACAAAAGTTTTTATTAGTCTAACAATTTGGAGACAAGAGCAAATTAGTTGTATCCACTGAGGTATTCTGTTGAAATGGTTCTCTAGAGAGGGATCTAAACAACATCATTAATTTTTTCTCTCTTCTTGCTTGTTATTCCATTAAGCCAAAGATCTTGTTTACACTCTTGACATAAAACACAGATGCCAAAAATACATGGAAAGATGTAGGCATCTGAATATTGCCAAGACCAATTTGTGAATAGTGTACAAATTAGCAGCAACCTGTGGTTTTGAGTTGGTGTCACTATTTGGGTGACTGCTGAATGTCTGAAGTGAAATGAAATTGACCCTTTTCCCAATGTACTCAGATATGGATGCCTCTAGCTCTATTGTTTGCTATAACCAAAAGTTGTTTCCTATAATCAGATCAATTCAGTCTCTTTTAGCTTCAGAAAACTACATCGTAAAAAAAAAGTTATGTTTTGCTGTGTTTTCAGGGTGGAGTGTGTGGTTTAAGAATGTCTGACACTATCTGTCATTAGCCACTACATATGATTTGCAATTGCAGTTTTGAGACATATCTTGAATTACAGATCTCACAGCTGAAATTCCTGACCAGTCATTTGGACTTTCTTTATCATCTCTTACTTTTTGTACCTCTGCTCTTTCTGCCTAATCACACAGGTTTTCTGGACATGGGGTTGTTGTTTTTATGTTTCGTTACTACAGTTCACTGAGTTGTCGCAGTAAATTGAAGTATGTTTCACCCGGTATCTTATTTATTAAATTTATATGCTGGCCATTTGTTGGCTGATGATATTCTGGACTTTGAAGATATTGTCCAATAGTTATTTTTACATCCTATAAGAAAAGAGAGTGTCAGGCCCCCCAAAAATGTATCCTCAGTTATTTTAACTTTGTAGCTTTCTTTGTTGCCTGCCATTCTGTTGGGAAGGGGACGCCTTTGGGGATGTTTTGCACTGTCTGCTTTGTTGCTTTGTTGCCCTTCCCCCAGGGGGTGGAATATCTCATCCTTATCTAAGAGACGTTTGTGCTTTGAGCCAGAAGATATTGAAAGTGAGAGAGACCTTGAAAAGCCCTCCGAAAAGATCGGTTACCAAAACATGATGCCACCTGTGGATTGGCTGGGATTCAAATGAACACTGGGACACTGTGGGCAGGAGTATTGAATGCTATTTTTAATATATTGCTTCACGGGTTTTTCCTCTCAGATCTCGCCTTGATTCCCTGCTGTCACTAGCCCCTAATAAAAGTTTCCTTTTGAGACAATGCTTGTTTCAAGAGTTCTGCTTTCTTGGGTGGCTTAGCCGAGGTAGGTCCTTACAGATAGAGGAGGCATTTGAAGATTTAAACATATCTGAAAGGGTCTTCTTCAATTTGTAGATGGTCCCTATTCCAGCCGGGGTGTTTACAATGGGAACTGATGAGCCCATTATAAAACAAGATGGAGAAGGGCCTGGAAGGAGAGTCCACATTGGTCATTTTTTCATGGATCGCTACGAAGTCAGCAATGCAGAGTTTGAGAAGTTTGTGAATGCTACTGGCTATGTTACAGAGGTAAGTGAAAGAAATTAGTCTTTTTACAAAGCAGTCTGGTTTGTGTCCAAATGGAGCTTGGAAGTTGGAGATAAATGTTGCTGCATCAGAGGAATGGCTTTCCTCTTAGACACTTGAGAAAAAGAGAAGGTATTCATCCACAAAAATTCCCAAATGTTATAAAATTGGCAAACGTTTTTGGTATCCTTGGACCTACTAGTAAAACCTAGCAGTGCCAGCAATTTACTTCGTATTGTCAATACATTAGAGGGACTTAGTCTTTTCAGAATGATAAAACCAATTCCCTGGATATATCTCTCTTATAACAATTACTCCAATTGTAGAATAAGAAAGGACCCTGCCACAAACAAGTCTCTAAGCTCTTCATTTGGAATCTGTATCCCCTAAAGATGTTTTGGAGCACTCTGCACAAAGGAAAAGGAAAAACCCACACAAAGACATCCACATAACTTACTGAAAGTAGGCCTGTTAGAAATGAACACTGTGTTTCTGGAGAGAAGATTTAAAATCTGCACAGAAGAAAAATACTTTTGCCCCACCCAACACAAGAAAGCGCAATAAAGGCAACCTTAGTTAGTTATCAGTAGCAGCATCTTAGAGGAGCTTACTGAACAGTGTACCAACTTGTAAAGCAGGAGGTACGCTGCTGTAAAACTTGTAAAGTGCACCAATTTGTAAAGCAGGAGGTACACGATTGAAGATTAAGGAGGAGAACCTTTCTGATATGTCCAACATTTATCCGGCACGGTCCTATAACAAGCAATAGCAACAAGCACCACTATTGCTTGTTATAGGACCGTGCCAGATAAATGTTGGACATATCAGAAAGAATGTCCTCCTCCATCTTCAACAGGTTACAATCTATCCTCAGGTCACCATTATAGAGCTATGGGAGAAATCATGACTTGGGAAACTGCTCCTATTGTATATGATAGGTGACAATTTGGTTCAGATTCAGGATACAGTATCAATCCAGGATGATAGAAGATTTCATCAAGTTTACTGTGTGGATGAAACACCTCTTTGGGTTCATTTATTCCTCAATTCTCCACCTTTATCCAGGGCCAATAGGTTAGCCTTTGGTAAGCAACAGGTCTTAAACTCTTAGCAAGTGCTACATAATTTTGGCAGAAAAGTAGCATATGGAAATGTTTTACTAGTGTCTGTCAGGATGTCGGTGTCTTTCCCATTCAGTCAGCACTGCAAGGTTGCTGCTTAATGATCTGCCTTCCCCAGTGCATATTCCTCTAGATGACTTAGACTGCAACTTCTGATATTTACATGCAGTGCAGTCATTAGCTATGCTGTCTGTAGATATAACTGTTTAACTCTGCAGTTGTGAGTGGGTGATGCAACCCATCAGTGTTCCATGAGAAGACTGAAAAAGTTATCAAAAAAGCAGTGATAAGCATGCCTCTATTTATTGGATCTTTATCAATAGCAATAGTACTTAGACTTATATACCACTTTATAGTATTTTTCAGCACCCTCTGGGCAGTTTACAATGTCAACATATTGCCCTGAACAATCTGGGCCCTCATTTTACCAACTTCGGAAGGATGGAAGGCTGAGTCAACCTTGTGTTATGGTTCTGACAGGTGAAACTCTTCAAAAGAACTTTGAGACATTGTTTACCTTAAAGAATCTTTTATTTGAGAAACAAAGTTTCGGCACTACATAGTTGAAACCAAAAACTAAATTCCCCTCCCCTGGATACAAAGTAACAAAGTACAATTCCCTCCTCCAATAAACAGTCATAAATCACATTCCCCAATTAGCTTGAAGCGCGGGCTTTCTCCCCAACTCTCCAGCCCACCAAAACACTATCAGCTCTGGGCCCAATGTGCTTGGGTTCCCACAGCTAAGTTATTATTGTTATGATTAGCAGGACTCTCATCCCTATTCCCCCTCCCAGCATCAACTAATTCTAAAAGCAATGGAGAAAATGGCTGCATTTCTATCTGTTGTCAAAGCAAAAACATCCGATGTTAAGAGCGTTGATACCTTGAGCTGGTCATAATCAAACTCCTGGGTGTGGGCAGAGCTAGCCTGCAGTAAGGCATTCTAACCACTGCATCATCAGGGCTCCTTTAATTTGCCCAATAATAAGAGTTTTCTGGGCATATTACAAAGTGATTTAAAACTTTAAAAACAGTTGTTTTACAATATTTGTAATCCCCCTATTTATAGTGAACTGTAGGTGGAGAACAACAAATCATATGAAAAACCAAAGTAAAAAAAATCAGTGGTTAAAAATATTATTATTAAAAGCCATCAATAATTACCAAAGGTACCATTAAAATGAAACTAATCTCTTCTAAGGGTGAGACGCACACTGGAACAGAGCTGATTTAATTTGTTTACAAAATTTTAGCTGAGTCAAAACCATCTGTATTTCTGGAAGAAGTGTATTCCATAAAATAGTGACTGGCACTGAACTGGCCCATCACTTGTCTATAGGCCTTTTAAGGAATGGGAGCTACAAAAGGCTCTCTCTTGATAACCAAATTAAATGTCATCAACAGAGGTTCAATTTTGGCAGTGTGCTGCATACTGTAAATCGCAATGCTCAGCCATATAGGACTTTAAAGATAATAACCAGCACTTTAAATTAAGCCTAGAAACCTACAGGCAACCAATCCAGCATCTTCACAATAAGAGTTATCCTAGTTATCAACTTCAATTGCTGCATTTGAATTAACTCCACACAAAATGTATCATAGCGCAACAGGATTACTATCGCCAGAATATATTGGTCCCAATAGAGCTGTAACTGATACATACTTTGGAGCTGAGGAAAGGTTTATTGTTTAAGTAGGAACTGAGAGTGAAGGAAATCCCCAAATCTCAAGCCAACTCCTTCAGGGAAACCCATGTTATTAACTTGGCTTGAAGTCTGCTAACAGGTAGCAAGTCTGATTTGGTGGGATTTAATCTGGGTTTGTCAATGGAGATTCTCAGTCATCCAGGTCATGGTTGTCACAAAGGTGGTTTTTTCCCCCAAAAAGCATTTGTTTTTCCTTTTGGGGTTAATCTGGGCTTGTTTTTCCCCATTCATATCCTCACAATCTCCAGCTAGCACTACAAAAGTTCAAAACTTTATTGTTTATTAAAAGCATTAATAAAGAAGAAGAACTAGAGAACCTAAATAAAGAGCTCAGGAAAGGAGATGAAAAAAAGATCAGTGTGCATATAATTCAAGCTCTTAAAGTCAGAATTAATTAGGGACCAAGTTCTAGAATGAGCTAGATAAATACAAATTTGTGATTGCAGCATTTTTATACTCCAGCAATATGGCATTCAACTTTGCTAATCTGTGACATATTACTCTTCTAATCTGTCTCTTAAGATGTTAGCAAATGCTGTCCACAGTGTTTTCAGCAGTCAAGAGGAATCAGCAGAGAATGATTCTCAGGAGGCAGGATCCTGAAGCAAATGCCAAACCCTATTTTACATTATTTCAGTGATGATGTTGAAATATGATGGGATACTGAGTCTGGGATCCCAAGCCAGTGTACTGGAATGGGAACTAAATTTGTATACTCCTGGAAGGCAAAATCCTGGGATATGTTGACATTTAAAATATGTATCAGCCAAAAATAGTTACAATATTGATTCACCTGCCTACAATATTTAATAACAAAGGTTGTCCCAATGTGTTTTTTTTTAAACTCAATATTGAATGCTGAATGCTGTTAAATTATTTGGAGAGTATATTGAAGTAAACTTTACTTAATTTTTAAGCTTTCTGAAATAAAGAATGGATTTGGTGATCAATAGGAATCAGTGCCTAATATAATTATGGCTAATGAAATTTAGTTACATTAACATGTGCTGCAATATTTTTTAATGGAGAAACTGCTGGGTAAAGTTTCAGCTTAAGAATGCGTGCCTTGGTTTATGCATCCATCATAAGCTCTGTTTTCTTACGTTTAGCATGTTTGGAATACATTCAGCTGAGAAATTCACTGCTATGTACATTTCAGGGCAGAACAGACCATGGTATTTCACTAAAGCTGGAAGGATTATGCTGCAATTATCTTTGAAATAGTATAGATGCTGAGAATTCTGAATTCCTAATGTCGGTACATTGAATATCTTTCTGTTATATGTTGCCACAGAGATAGACACTTCAAAATAGTATTGCCAGACAAAAAATAGGCAGTTCCAGAGAAGTGGATAAACTTCTTTTGTAGCAGTCTTAAAATACTACTGCTTTCTAGCAATGTGAAAGACATCATCACTAGTTAGGGTATGTTTATTTCAAATGTATATGTTATTACTTATCTGTTCCTGCATCCTCTGCTATTGCAGTATATGGATAGAACAAATGTCAATTGCTCAGACATTTTTGCTTTTAGTGGTAGGGAAAAAACCCACTTCTAAAATTACCTACACTTTTTATTAGTTCAGAACACATATGACAAGGTTAACCTTCCCTCTGTATCTTTTACTTCCACCATCACACACACAAACACACATCAAGTAATTAAGCTGCTTTTGCACACATTTGACTGCTTTGTCATTTCAGTATGTTGAAGACAATTGTCTGTGTGGAAATTTTGAGTTAGAATTCCAAACAGAACAAAAAAATTTTTTTTAAAAAAAACCCGTTACAATAATGCTGCTTTCCTCCCTAAAACTGATATAATCTCAGTAGCCTGGGTCTGTGGGACAAAGGATGGGATGATGGATATTATTGATAACCTAGTAACAAGCAGAATTATGTACAACGATGATTGCAAGGAATAATATAGACAAATGAGAATTGTAGTTCAGAATTTAGAAAGCCACAAATTGCATGTCTCCGCTACAATTTCAGACACATAAAGCTGTCATGCTATTGGATCACTTGGTCTTACATTATCTACATCTCTTGTAGTACGTAGTTTCTCAAGGTTGAGGACAAAGCAGGTTCCCAAATGTAGTTATTTTAGATTTGTTGTCTCAAAGTATGTCAGAATCAGAACTAAGAGTTTCGTGACATTCAAGTAATGTCAGTACTCACTGACCTTTGCTCTACCTTCCAAAAATACACATGCTGATAATGCAATATGTTCTGATTGTTTTATCATGTGTATTTATGATATGGTTAAAGCACATTATTTGGGTGCTGCTCCATTTGATATACAGTTATTAGTTAAAAGTAAACGCAAGTGATAAAAACAAGAAGCAAATATGGAGTTGACATGATAGAAACATACTGTGTATATACATCTCTATGTTTCAAATCCCATTTTAGTGAAAAGCTGATTGAATCATGCTGCTTCCTAACTTATGCCAGTTTGAATTATTAAATAATAAATACGTTACTAGATAAGAAAAGTGCATATATTTCATAGTTTTTGTTCTTTCCTACATTAGAATGTGACCCAGTTAGTAGAAATGGCAGTGGAAATGTTTATAGACACTGTCTGTTTCTGTTTTAGGAGTTTACATTTTAGTTCAGTGAAGATGTCTTTGAATAATGTAATGTTTTTATCCCAAAGGAGTGTGCTGTAAAATTATAACTGTTGGTTTTCAGGGTTGGAGGAGAAAGAAAATATACTATTTGAAGAGTATTCAGTTGGGAAATAATGTGTATTATTCCAATGTGTATTATTCCAAAGATAATTGCAACTTAACTGCCTGATTTTCTTTTCTTTTCTTTTCTTTTCTTTCTTTCTTTCTTTCTTTCTTTCTTTCTTTCTTTCTTTCTTTCTTTCTTTCTTTCTTTCTTTCTTTCTTTCTTTTTTCTTTCTTTCTTTCTTTCTTTCTTTCTTTCTTTCTTTCTTTCTTTCTTTCTTTCTTTCCTCCCTCCCTCCCTCCCTCCCTTCCTTCCTTCCTTCCTTCCTTCCTTCCTCCCTTCCTCAGGCAGAAAAATTTGGTGATTCCTTTGTATTTGAAGGCATGTTGAGTGAAGAAATGAAGAAGGGGATTCATCAAGCTGTGAGTCATATATTAATATGTTTGTACCTATTACAATGATTCAAAGTTGGAAACAAACTATTGTAACCCAATAATATATTTGGTTTTAAAAACATGTTACCATGCTGTGTGAGACCTGCAGTAGTAAGCTTTTGACTAATTTTGAGAACAGTATTAGTGTTGTGAAATTGTGTGTTCTAAGAGGAGATACCAGTGTAAAACCTCAGAAGTAAACAGGGTGACTTTCTGTCCTTTTTTGGCATGTTGTGGTGACCCATGTGATCTGCAATCACTACAAAGCTATATTCTTCCTTATAAATAGTAAGTGTTGTCATCTTTGTTTGACAATCTTCACAGACTCAATGTTCAGATGTCATAGGTATGTATGCCCACAGTACCAGTGCTGGTTTACATCCAAAGATGTGCAGTTACAACAAGGTCTGCACAGAACAGAACAGAGTCTGTTCTGTACATTCATTTTGATTCCTCCCTTTTTCTCTCTTATCCAGCCTTAAACCTGCTATGTTTAATTGTAATAATTGCTTCCCAAAATATGGTGCTAATCAGCTGACAAATGGCCTGGAAACTGACTCACAAAAAGCTTTCAGAGAACCCACATTTGAAAAGACATTGAAATCTTGTGCTAATACACATCTTGCTCAGAAGAGTGTATAACATATGCAAATAGAACACAGATGTGGATTTTATTTTATTTTTAAATTTAATTTTATTCTATTTTATTTGTTGTGTAAAACTCTTGATCAGTATCCAAAACTGCTTCACAGTGACCCTTTAGGTGAACTTCAGAATTTCTCTCTCCAAGGAGGGACAAAGTCACTCAAAACAGGATCACTGAGAGATTATCAGCAGATGTAATAAGAATGGAGATATACAGAGATAGAGATAAAGATGGAGACAGAGAGTTAGATATCTCTCTATATCTCTATCTTTATCTCTATTCCTATATATCTCCACTCTTATTGCAAATCTCTCTTTATCTCAGAGAGAGAGAGAGAGAGAAGAGAGAGAGAGAGAAGAAAGAGAGAATATAATATATTTTTAAAAGGTAGTATAATATATTTTTAAAAGGTAGGAACTATTGCATTGTTGCTTTTATTGATAATAGATACCATGTTCTTTATGTGTGTGTGTATATATATATGGATGGATGGATGGATGGATGGATATATACATATATATATATATATGGATGGCTATACATAAATCGATATATATATATAGAGAGAGAGATAGAGGCAGAAATAATTTATGGGAAGTAGAAAAAAATCCACAAACATTCTTGAAAAATGAAACTTGTATGTACAAATATGGCCAAAAGAACAGACCTTAATTCAAAAAATTAAAATGACCTTTTCAGAGACGATCATTATAAGTGTGTATGTATATGTGTCTATATAAGTATTAAATATAACAAAAATGAATCTGGAAGCAGTAGGATTCAAAAGCCAGGTTTTTGTGGATTTGAGATCTTTAAAAACTGAAACAGTACGTATCGGAGATGCCTCCTACTCCATTTGCACTTTAAGAACATAGCAGAATAAGTATGCTATGCATCTTCTGGTATTGTCAGCATCATTGGATATCCTCCTGAATTATTTCCAAAAATCAAGGGCTAGCCCCTAAAAATCAATCAGATTTTCAGAAGTCAATCTTAATTTGAGGGGGATTTGATTTTTTATCTGTTCAGTAGGGCAGTAACATAATAACTTCCAACATATGTTGGAAATTGCATTTTTCAACTGCATTTTGGCAGTGTGTTGGAAGGTTCCAGGTGATTTAGTATTGTGGCAGATAATTAGTTGAAATTTCACTTGAGTGCTTCATCTTAACATATTCCTTTTATGCACCAAACGAAAATGTTATGCAAGGGAGTAAAAATAACACACATTAAAGCACCATGTGGGGTTTTTAAGAGTAATTACATCCTGCAGTCTGTATGCTTTGTTGAAGACATATAATTTTTGAATAAAAAGAGAAGGAAGAAAACTTGAAAACTCTCTTAAGCCACAATATAGCCCACAATTGATGGGATGTTTGGCTATGACATGGTATGTGACAATTCTATCTGTGTCTTCTGAGAAACTGTTATTGTTTCTACTGTTGATATTGTGTGAAGTGATACAACTTGCCTGTATAGGGCAATACGTATTGGTTTATTTTAAATTCAGCTTTGTGGTTGGGGAAAATGCTTAAGAACTGTTCGATTCCTTTCACATATGTATTGATTTCTTCATGTTTGAATTGTTGGGAATCACCATGCTCAGAAACCTGAAAAACAGTATTAAATTTCTTTCTAGATGTAGTCTAAAACTAAACATGGAATTACTAGTAGCTACAGAAAATTCAATTTAGGTACAAGTAGTCATCAATTTACAACAGTTCATTTGATGACTGTTCAAAGTCACAACAGCACTGAAAAAAGTGACTTATGACTGTTTTTCACACTTATGACCATTGTAGCATCCCCATGTTCATGTGGTCAAAATTCAGACACTTGGCAACTGACTCATATTTATGACAGGTGCAGTATTCCGGGGTGATGTAATATCTTTTGCAACCTTCTGACAAGTAAAGTCAATGGGGAAGCCAGATTCACTTAACAACTGTGTTACTAATTTAACAACTACAGTGATTACAACTGTGGCAGAAAGGTTGTAAAATGGGGGCAAAATTCACTTAACTACTGTCTCATTTAGCAACAGAAAGTTTGGTCTCAATTGTGATCGTAAATCAAGGGCTATTGTATAGGAGAGCATTTGTACCAATAAACTTGCATAAGTTAATGACAACATTAATAAGTAATAACTTGCATAAATTAAACAATATAGGGCAGGGATGAGTAATGTATAGAATGCTTTTGGCCTTCCACCACCTTGTTTCAACCATCCAGTAAGACTGACGTTAACTTTTTGAGGCTGACCAGATCACAAAACAGATTCCACAAGAAGACTAGAATTATTCTTTACCAAGAAAGACTTTTGCAGCAGAATCTTGCAACCTGACTGGGTTTTCCCTCCCCTCTCTCTGAGGTCATTTATTCAAACATTCACACATGCTGTCCTGCTTAGTAACAATCACATTTTTTCTTACTATTTTTAAGGACACGTGTGCCACACTTATTCTCACTATCCAAATCCACAGGGTCATGGTATTATACTCCCAGCCTGCGACTTGTGGAAGCTGGAACAGGAATTATGCGACTTGTGGAAGCTGGAACAGGAATTATGCACAATCCTGTCTGCAAAGGGGAACAAACCATTCAAACATTCAATGGGAACAGGTTCTTTTAGGATGTGGAAATACAAAAACTGTCTAGATTAGTTAACCAAATTAAATAGAGCTCTGTTCTGTCATTTAATATTCAGTTTACATGGACAAGTCCTGTACACCAGGTTGACGAGGCAATAATAAGTCGGAATCAGACCTGGAGACAGAATAAAGCACTTGGACACAAAAGGGAGTATGATGGACACAGGAACGACAGATGGGAGATGAAAGTGAACGACAGAGAGGTCTACCTTGACTACGGTGGAATCGGGGAAGTCTCAAGACCAAAAATATGTCGGACTTAACCACCCGTCTAAAGACGAAAATCGAATGTCGGTCACTAGGATTTACTTTAACAGAACCGTTGGAACCGAGAGACGGGTCTTTAAGACACTAATGAGAAGAGACTCATCCAGAAAGGTCGTAGTGTGATGAAACCCTCTCGCATCTTCATGCCTATACTACGGTCATTTTCAAACTAAATTTTTACTGCACTGCGAGGAACCAGTCTGAGTCTCTTTCTAATATTTTCCCAGTTTCCTGGACTCAAAGCATATTTTTGCACATCCCTACATCGTTTCTGCAGGGTAATCTCCATGGCTGCTTATAAATAAGTTAATCCCAGTATCTTAAATTGCACCCGGAAAGAAATCATCAATTGCAGAACCCACAGAACTGATTTATATACTGCCAGAACTAAAATCAGCGAGCCACTGCATTCTGAACTAGTGGCAGTCCCTGAGTAGTTTCTACGGGGAGCCCCATGTAAAATGCATTGCAGTACTCCTGCTGGGTGATGATGAAGGCTTGAATTACAGTACTTAGGTCAGGGGTAGGCAACGTTGGCTCTTTTATGACTCGTGGACTTCAACTCCCAGAATTCCTGAGCCAGCTATGCTGGCTCAGGAATTCTGGGAGTTGAAGTCCACGAGTCATAAAAGAGCCAACGTTGCCTACCCCTGACTTAGGTTCTTCTGCACCAGGTAAATTTGCAATTGGTGCAGCATAAAGGACCCTCTGGCCATAGCCTCCAGGTAAGAACCGTGAGTCTGGAAGAAAACCCAGGTTGCAGACCTGTTCCTTCATGAGTACCGGCAGTGCTTGCCCATCCAGATATAAAGTAGAACAGCAAGTCCACCCTCAGATTGATCTCTCTCATCTAGGCAGAGGAGAAATGGGTGCCTTTATTACAAGGATTCGCTTTGCATTCTGCTACTGTTTCCCTTCAAAGAAATTATGGTGCTTGTCTTAGAAAAAGAAAAGATCTAAATTGGAATAGGGCTTATTGACAAGCCTGAAAGCATAAAGACAGGAGAATTAAACAGTGCACCTGAAACCCTTGCAGTGAATGTTTGGAGACTGAGAATGACAACCTACCTGCTGCAGTCTTTTATTTTATTTTATTTTTTCAAAAAAAAATTTTTTTTTGTATGCGTGTGTGTTCTGCTTTACTACTGTGAGTCAAATGTCAATCCTCAGAGCAGCGACTCGGGGTATTATGATCCTTGCCTGAACTGGGAATTCCTCTCCCTGATGTTTGCATCAGAAGCAAGTTGGGACTGGCACCCAGCCCAAATAGTTGAGCTTTGCTGCTTCCTTTGAAAGATTTCCCCTATTTGGTTAGAGTAATTTTTAGGGGACTTTTCTTTTGCCTTGTTTTTCAATATGTATTATTAGGACATTTTGGCATGCAGAACCTCATCTAGTAGGCATGGAAAAATGACATTATTCTG